ATAATAAAGGGATGCATTGACCGATTTTGTTTTGTTTCTTCCACAGATTGAGTACACACCCTGTGTTGTTGTCTTAGATTGCTGGAATCTTCTGACAGAATTCATGCAAGGATTCATGGCATCTCATACACCGTCTTTACCCAGTTACCTTGCCAACAGACAAGATGCAAACTACACACCCATGGATACAATTATGCAATATTTAGACCATTTCAATACATTCACAGGCAGAAAAGTTGTACAGCAGCCAGCAAGATAGTCACACATTTTACTGGATTTGTATTTTTCGTTATTTATTACAATAAAAAAACATTGTTTTTTAATAAAATACAAATAAGCTTGCTGGATCAGATACTATAATCATTCATTGAGCAGGTGATGGATGAAGGTACCATTAAAATAACCAATACATAAGACTGCAGTGTAGTTACCCCAAGTTTCACCATTTGTTGGTTCCTGGAAAAAAAACAAATTTTAATTTCACAAGACAAATATGTGAAGAGCTTCTGTTGCTCAGTTCTTACAATTATATGCTCCTTATTCCAATGAAGAGTACCAAATTAAAAGTGCCCAGACAATAGTACAGATTCCTAATTATTATTAAAACCCATACTAGTAATTTTCGGCCAATCAGAATGCTCCATTGTAGGACTTGATATGCACTGTCTACAGTTTTACTGTGCTAAGAAACCAAAGGTCGTGGATTTGAACTTGAATTTTAAAAGTGAAAGCGAACCTGTAATGCATTCACGCACTGCACATAAATGATCTCAAGAACTTTATAGCATATTTGATTGCTTGGCATGGTCCTCTTTACCATTACATATTTCATGCATAATTGTTGAAAGGAATACCTTCAAACGTATAATTTAACTATAGATGGTTTGGGCAGTGAGTTTTAAGTCAGGTAAAGCACTTGCCCTCTGACCCTTCTGGAGATCTCCAGGCTCAACATTTTATCTTTGGTCGAACTTCATATTCATAGTGTCTCTGTACTCTGGCTTTTATCCTCCACTAATGAAGTGTACCAGTTTTGTAATTAATAGTTCGAGGTCAACAATGTACAAAAGCACATGTCATTAATATTTCTACAATACGAGTATGTTGCAAAATCCTCTCCGCTAGGACAAAGATGATTTTAAAAGAGCAAAGTAACAATGTGTGTACCTTTGTTATTCAGTTATGGCTGTGCTGGTGCCATGACGTCAATATCTGCAAACTCTCTTGCCAACCATATACCACATCCGAATAATAAAAGGTTTCTTATAAATGCCCTGTGAGTGAAAACAAAATGTTAATGAAAAGAAATTCCAAATACGAGTCTGTGAACGAACGAGGTCAGTCCTGTTTAGGGCACAGGTTTAGGGTTAGGATCCCAGAGTCTGACCCGTGATAATCAAAACAATGACAGTGTAGTTTTCAACGATTTGATACAGATCATGAATCTGTTTAGCGTTTTATAGTACCTTTTTGTTGGGTTCTTATATAAATCTGCAATAGCGGCAGTCATGCTTGGTTTCTGTGGTCCAGTGCTGGGCAATGCTTTCTTCTCGGGTGCCATTTTCATACCACGTACCCCCTAACTACGTGGTAATAATATTGGGTTATAAATTTGATGTGTGTCGCCCTCTATAGGTGAAATATTGCTGTGTAAAATAAACATAGCAATCAATCAGAAATAATATGAAAATAACATTTAATGTGTCAATATTTGACAAACAAAGTTGCGTGAATCAAACCTTGAAATATTGTGGATGTGGTAAGGTTAACAGTAATTAAAAAAATAAAAGTTACGTGGTCACGGTGTACCACTGAATTTACATTTACTTTAATTGGTATTTCAAGAGCAGATACGTGAAAATAGTGGGCAACGTATAAAACAATGGTTTCAATAGAAATAGGAATTCAGTCTTCAATGGTTTGGTTGGTGTCTATGTATCGTAGCTTCCACCACTTTTTATTTTGTTTGCCAACTTTCTCCTTCCTTCTTGTGGTGTAACGTTCTATTTCTTCAATCCCTTTAACAAAAATCTTAACATTTACAAATTCTGGTGTTTTTGTTGACAACTACATACATAGATAAATCTTTTACTCATTTTTTTTGAGTAACCCAATTTGTTGATTTATTATATGATTTTATTGGTACAAGCTGCAAGACTAGGTACATGTTGAAGCCAAGCACAACCTACCGGTTGACTGTTACTGTACAGAGAGCCCAATGAGTACATGCCCCATTCACCTTCTGTAACAAAATCCCAATGAGAATATCCGTTCAATAAATATTAGTTTTGGTGACTATGAGGGCTTGTAAAAGGAGTGCTGACGTACCTCCGCAAATGACAAAACATTTCTCAATTGACCCATAGTTTTCGCATAATGTTGCAACTAACTAATACATACGCTTTTTGATAGTTAAAGTAATTAAGTTATTTCATTTCAAAATTACAAATACACAGACAAGAAAAGAAGGAAAAGGAAAACAACTAGAAAAAAAAACAATAAGTGTGTAGTAAACAAATAAACTGCCCTGTTTGTATTCATATATATATACAAAAGTAAGTTGTAAGAAAAGAAAACACCCACAATCTTGACCCAAGCGGGGTATCTTTCCGTTGCCTCCAATTTCCTAGCCACATTGCTTCAATCTTATTAAAATTAATTTTTAAACCTGACAAAAGTGGGAATTGGTGAAGAAGAGTTAAGTTAAGAGGTTCCCAGCAGCATAAATGTATTCATTGTTAGCTTTCGCTGTACAAACGAAAAAGAAATTTGATATTTTTTTTCATCATAAAATTTGCATTAAACAATTGACATAATAGAAAACACTCCCTGTACATTAATCCCTCAAAGGCTTGAAAAGAAAAAACAACAACAAAAAACATACTAACATACTCACTTCACTTCCAAAACATAGAAATAACGTTGGAAGCATGTCTTATGGTGCAAAATTGGTCCATTTTTTTCTAGAAACAGTATTTTTTCTTATATAAATAATATTTTCTATCTTTCTTATATTATAGCTAATTTCAGCTTTAATGGCAACAAAGGATGGTAACTCTTTCTTTTAATTTTGCTTGTATAGATACACTTTTTACAAATTATAATTAAATGGTTCAAAAGGTCCAAGAAACTTTCATCACCTAGGAGAATCTGTTTTGCTGAAAAGTGGCTGGGGGCACATAAAACCTTGTCCAAATATCTTGCACCACTTGACTGTCACAAAAAAGATGTTTCACTAAAGCTATGGCAAAATGTACACATGTCAAAAATAACTAAAGGTGGTTGAAAGTGGTATAGCATAGTATTTGTGTACAGGATGTTATGGTTTAATTTCCATTGAAGTTCACGAAGAGTGCTGCAAATTGTAACGAGAAAGGGCATTGAATAGAAAAAAATCCCATCCAGGTTCCACCACCAACAGGTCTCTAAAGAAGGACTGACTAGATGGAGTAATAAAAAATTCAGTGGAGATGTGTCGACCATATGCACTGATTGGAGGATCTGGCCGCACATAATCTGGTCTACTCATTTTCCAGTCTTTAGGGATAGCCGCAATGAGACACTGTCATCGTAGAAACTGAATGCGGTTTAAACTTAATGTATTTAAGTCATTCCAATTTGTAACCGTACCCTCCTCATTAAAGATGTCAGCTATATGAACAATTCCCAGATCCTTTTAAATCTGAATAAAATATAATTTTATTTTGAATAAGAATGTTTGTATTATTCCATATAATCTCATATGCAGGGAAAATAAACTCGTTCTGTATAACATTAATCCATACATTTAGCAGTTCCCAATAAAACGGTGGTAATGTAATATGTAGTGCATTTATTGAGAAGATCTAGGAACTGTTTCAATGGATGAAAAAATGATGACAAATACCTTTTAACCTAGTTAATTTTAAAAGCTTTCTGCATAGCACAAATATCCAACATCCCTAACCCACCATGGCCTATGTCACCTGTCATAGTATTACGAGAAACTCTATCTCGACCCCCCGCAAATAAAGGAGAATATTTTTGAGTTAATCTTTTTGACATCAGATTGATTAATATTAATCACATTTAGAATATAAAGGAATTTGGGCATAACAACAGATTTATGATTTGTATTTTACTACCAATTAGTGTGTGAGGTTTCGCATATTCCATAAGTTTAAAACTTTTTCAAGACTTTTAGTTGGAACAATTAAGTTTTTTCTGATATGCAGATGTAAAGTTGTAAGAAAAGAAAACACCCACAATCTTGACCCAAGCGGGGTATCTTTCCGTTGCCTCCAATTTCCTAGCCACATTGCTTCAATCTTATTAAAATTAATTTTTAAACCTGACAAAAGTGGGAATTGGTGAAGAAGAGTTAAGTTAAGAGGTTCCCAGCAGCATAAATGTATGATATAAAGCAGGTGAGGTCATCAACATACGCAGAATGTTTTATTTCAAAACCACCAATATTAATCCCCCCTCAATTCATTGTCATATTGTTTCCAAAGACAGAATGAACAATATAGGTGATAGGGGATCCTTCTGTCTGACCCTAGAAAGGGAAAAATAACCTGTTGACAGCCCTCTATTCATAATACAACTAGATGGATCTGAATAAAAGGCCGGTACCCAACTTAACAAAGAGGAGCCAAAGTTGCATTTACGTAGACAACTGAACATAAAATCCCATTCAAGGCTATCAAAAGCTTTTTAGAAATCAATAGCTAACAGCACCCCATTTTTATCATAATCGTTTCTATATTCTATAATTCCCTCATTCACCAATTGACCTATTCTGAATATATTAATTTATCCACCTAGCAGCAATCATATAATCAACATTAAGTAATGCTACTGGCCTCCAAATACATATATACTTTTTATCTTTGCCTGCCTTTTCTATAAGTGTAATTACCACCTGTGACTGACTGACCTGTGACATATGCCCTATAGTTGTTGCAAAATTTAGTGATTTAACTACATGGGGTCCTAATAAGGGCCAAAACGCTAGATAAAATTCTATGGTCAGACCTGGAGTTTTATTTTTGTTCATGCTATTTAGTGCATTAAGCCCCCCCCCCCCCTGAACCGTAATTTCCCCCTCACAAATCTTTTTAGTTTTCTGATTGGGCATTGGAATATCATTATTGTTCAAAAAGCTTTCAGCAATACTTGAATCGTTACAGTCCCTGAGTTATAAAGACCAGAAAAAGGTAAAAAAACTCAAATTGAACTGCATTTACATCAGTCATAATTTCTCCAGAAAAGACCAGAAAAAGGTAAAATATTTCAAATTGAATTGCATTTACATCAGTCATAATTTCTCCAGAAAAGACCAGAAAAAGGTAAAATATTTCAAAT